AAAGAAGGGGGAGAAAGGCTGATTCTTTTAATACTTTTTTGGGGGGGGGGTTGCGGCTATTTGTTTATTTTTGCATGGTTCCTTTTAAATCTCTTGATTTGGGGAAAGCCCCCACTTCACGAATGCTTGCTTAAGGTCCCCAAAGCATTAAATATGTACATGTGTATGTATGTACGTATGTGTATATATGTACATGTATATATATGTATGTATATTATACAGACATATAAATGTATATGCATATATATGTATATATACACACATGTGTATACATATCTATATAGCTACATATATATATGTGTGTGTGTAGCTATAGATATATATACACACATATATACATATATATGTATACATATTTCCATTTTTTTGGTTTCTTTTTCTGATAGGAGCAATTAAAAAATGTAGTTAGAAGGGGGAAGCATTATAATTTTGCTGGCTTGTTTTAAAAAGACCCCTCCCCCAGTTTCCTCGTTTTGTTTTTAATACTTTTTTCTTTCTTTTACTGTATATGCAATAACAAGGTTTATAAACGTAATAAGGAGAAGGAAAAAAAACAGTGGACGCTATTGATAAAGTATTTATGTAATTAATGGATGACTTGTAAATACCTGGCCTATGAATACTCGAAATTAAAATTTAATTTATTGATATTGTATATATGTCTGTAAATATAGACCGCAGCTGTCTTTCTGGTTTTTTTTTTGTTTTTTTTTTAAACTCATTTTCATTTCAAAGTCAGGTTCCAAGTTGTGAAGAGTTGCAACTTCAAAAAAAGTGGGGGGGGGGGGAAAAGCAAAAATCCATCAGGGGAAGAATCATGTTTACATTTCTGATGTGTTTTTTTTTTGTTTTTTTTTGTTTTACTGTGCCATTATAAAGAGAAAGGAATTGTTTTTGTTGATTTGAGGGGGGAGGGAGACGCATGCAAAACGCAGAACAATAGGGCTGAAAAAAGACTGTACAATCGCTGGATGCTCCCTGATTCTACCATGGGTAGAAATGATTAAATAAATATGTTAATTAAATACTGTCATACTTCTCAAGTAGGTTTGTGAAGAGGGGGAAAAAAATCTGGGAGTTTTGTTCACTTAAAAAGAAAAAAAATCATTGCTATCCCCCCCATTGCCAATTGATTATGATTGGTTNAAAAGGGGGGGGGAGAAAGGCTGATTCTTTTAATACTTTTTTTTGAGGGGGGGTGCGGCTATTTGTTTATTTTTGCATGGTTCCTTTTAAATCTCTTGATTTGGGGAAAGCCCCCACTTCACGAATGCTTGCTTAAGGTCCCCAAAGCATTAAATATGTACATGTGTATGTATGTACGTATGTGTATATATGTACATGTATATATATGTATGTATATTATACAGACATATAAATGTATATGCATATATATGTATATATACACACATGTGTATACATATCTATATAGCTACATATATATATGTGTGTGTGTAGCTATAGATATATATACACACATATATACATATATATGTATACATATTTCCATTTTTTGGGTTTCTTTTTCTGATAGGAGCAATTAAAAAATGTAGTTAGAAGGGGGAAGCATTATAATTTTGCTGGCTTGTTTTAAAAAGACCCCTCCCCCAGTTTCCTCGTTTTTGTTTTTAATACTTTTTTCTTTCTTTTACTGTATATGCAATAACAAGGTTTATAAACGTAATAAGGAGAAGGAAAAAAAACAGTGGATGCTATTGATAAAGTATTTATGTAATTAATGGATGACTTGTAAATACCTGGCCTATGAATACTCGAAATTAAAATTTAATTTATTGATATTGTATATATGTCTGTAAATATAGACCGCAGCTGTCTTTCTGGGTTTTTTTTGTTTTTTTTTAAAAACTCATTTTCATTTCAAAGTCAGGTTCCAAGTTGTGAAGAGTTGCAACTTCAAAAAAAGTGGGGAAAAAAAAAGCAAAAATCCATCAGGGGAAGAATCATGTTTACATTTCCGATGTTTTTTTTTTGTTTTGTTTTACTGTGCCATTATAAAGAGAAAGGAATTGTTTTTGTTGATTTGAGGGGGGAGGGAGACGCATGCAAAACGCAGAACAATAGGGTACTTTTTTCTGACATGTTAGCGACCTACGAGGGACTAAGATGGTACCCATCTTTACTAATTTATTTATACAATTAATTTATGACAGTATGAAGAGTTCATCCAAACACTTCTCCCCCTTTTTTTAGACCCTCAAAACAAGTGAATTTTTCTTTTTTTTAGTAACGATAGGGGGGGTAACGGTTAACTAATACTAACCAAGCACTTAGACTGGATTCAGCATTTTTGTTCATCTATCTCTCCTTCCCAAGGACCTGGGATTGCCAGATGTGGATATTTGCTGGTGTTAGAGATTTTGTCTCAGGATTTAAGCTCTTCTGAGTAAAGCTGCCTTTTGCAATTGACTGGTGGGGATTTTGTTAACGCTGAAGGTGTTCAAGTGTCACTCCAGATGTTTTTGAGATTGCACCCAAGGTGATTGTCACCATTGGGACTATCTTTGCTTCTTCCACTTATATTTGCAGATCTTTGTATTTTGTGATTCTCTTCTCTCTCTTCTCTTCTCTTCTCTTCTCTTCTCTTCTCTTCTCTTGTCACAACCACTATCCAGACTTTTTTTTCTTATTGACAGTTATTAAATCTAGGATGTTCTGTGGCAGGTTATTATTATTATTATTGTTGGAATATTGAGTCCGATATTTTTACAGGTTCAAAATTTAGTGTTGAGCATTGTTGAAACCAAAACAGAAATAAATAGATTTGTTGAAATGGTTCAAAAGCTTTCCCCCTTTCCTGTAACCTTCCTCTCCCTCCTAAGAAAGTTGCTTTTAAGATCATTACAATTTCAATCTAAGTATTTTCTTTCCATTGTGGTGTCTTTGAGGCTCAACTGGTGTACCTTGAGGGCGCCTGGGTCAAAAAATATTTAACAAGTCTTTTTTCAGATTGCTTTGAATCTGAATTGTTTTGTTTTGAGTAGGGGGGTAAGATAAATCCCTCCCCAAAAAAGCAATTAAAAAGCGAGATGGTACCAGTACAACCAGATATGTGTTTACTGAGATGTAAATCCTGTTGACATCAATGAATGTGGAAGCTAGAAAAGGCTATATACAAGCTCAGTTTTGGTTTCATTCAAATTTGCAAGGGGGCAAGTATGTACATGTGTTTAAGCCTTCCATTCACATGTACTTTGCTGGGTAGAGCAGAGCGCTGGCTGGGCCCATTGACATCAATGGGTTTACACAAAAAAGATTTGTCTTCATTATTTGCTGATTTTCCCCTGCCCTGCTCAACCCCACCCCACCCCCCCAAAAAATTGCCTTCAAAACTTCACCATGGAAGCAGTAAGCCTGGCAAAAATCAAGATATACACTATTCAAATCTCAAATCAAGATGTCTCCGTCTTAACTTTGCAATTTTGTGTATAAAAGGCTTCTAAGAATCGGTACAAAATCTGATGGGGATCTGGGCAGGGCTGGAGTTACAAAGTTAATCGAGGGAGCTAAACAGTTAATTTTGTTTAATTATAACGATGATTCTGCCGGGGGAATAGAAATCAACCTAGCTTCAAACTTCTATCCGGCCTCTCCTCTCCTCTCTTCATCTGTATTTATGATTAAGGGGAAATATTTATACAGCTCACAAGCCTCCGCCAAGCAGGGGCGGAGAGAATGAGGGTTGTAAATCTTGGGGGAGGGGAGTTAAGAGTGGACTTTCAGCCCCCTTTCCCTAAAACTCTGGAAGGTGAAACCCCCGGGACGGAGCGGACCCTTCACACGGCCTCTCCATCCGAGTCAGGTTCCAGCAAGTCCCGCTTTTGAAAATGGGGTATTGTAAAGACCCCGACGACGCTGTAAATATCGGGGTTTTTGGGGGTGGTGGTGGAATCTTCTTCCCCCCACCTCAACCCCGGTTCCATCCTCCGCCGCCGTCTCCTCACGTAACTTCCTTCTCGCCTCTGACTCGCGTGCGCCCTTCGGATCCACACGGATCTCTTTTTTTGGAGGAGAAGTGGGGCCGTCGAAATTCTGCGTTAGGTTATTTCTAAAAAAAAACAAGCAACGACTCTCCCCCCACACACACATCCGGACCCCTGCGACGCCCTTCCCCTCGGGAAACGGGAGAGAAAACCTAGTTAGACGGCTGGCCCGTCTCACTTTTCAGCCTCCAACTTCGCGCCGGTACTTGCAAGGCGGAGCGGCGGGAAAAGGGAGAATCTGATGGAGGACAAAAGTTTCGGTTGACAAATGATTTGTTTGTGTACTCTTGGCAGAGCGGAGGGGAGAGACAGACTTTTAGTTTTTGCTTTATCTTCTCATTTATTTATTAAAAAATGTGGGTGTCTCTCTCTGTGTCCGTCTCTTTCTCTGCTTCCTTTTTGGGTCTTCCTCTTTCTCTCTTTTCTCTTTCTCTTTCTT